TATTGGATTACTGTGGTTTCGCGTAGCTTTCTCCCCGCAGCCGCGGCCGCGGCCGCGCCTTCCGCCCGCCTTCCGCCCGCCTGGCGTTCGTTGTCCCCGGCCTTGTCACGTTCTTTGCGTTTCGCGCTGAGCACGTTCGTCTCCTTCCCCCTCTTTGTGTTTCTTGTTTTCGGCACCCCGCATCGCTGTGAAGTCTGCGGGCATTAATGTATTTGCTTGTGTAGTCATAAGCGAATCTTTCTCTGGCCTTTTATCCCGTTCGCTTTTTCTTTGCCTGTCAACATGTCCTCGCCTTCTCTTTGGCTCCAATTCGCGTTGGAACTCGCGCAAATATGCTTACAGTTTTGCCTCTTCTTCTCGCGATTCCTTGGGGCAGTTATTCGTAAACTTTCTTGAACGGTTTTAATAATCATTATAATATTTGTATAGGCTCTGTGTAGGCTTGGAAATTATAATGATATTTGTCACAGCAAAACGTTAATGGAAGTACACAGCAACCGAACTTAGGTTCATGTATTATTTTTTTCCCTATGTATTATTTATATTCTACCTGGGGGATATGCTTGCGATACACGATTTTTATTTTAACTGCGAGAAGTTATGTATTCACATTACTCCTATACATGATCCAAGAAATTCAATTTTATGACTCGAAACCAATCTCATATTACGAGATGCTCTTGAACGTTGCCCACGTACAGCGACTCCGAGCCGATACAATCTCTCATAAAATAGAAAGTTAGTGACCTGTTACGCGACCCCTCAGTTCTATAGAAGTAAGACTTTCATGTCCCTCGCACAGAAAACTGTCTCGATTGCATCCTCTCCATAACCCCGAGGAAACCGCGAAACGAGCCTACTTGTTCGTTACGTCCCCGTGCTCGCTGTGGCAATAATAGGTTACTCACCCGAACGGGAAGAACAGTTCACAGTTACCGTTCCCGAAGTGCGCATTTGATTTCGAGACAACGTCGAGCCCCATTGCCGATATCGCAAGCGATCAGCTCGTGTTGTTACGAGAGGCGCCCACTTCCATCGCTGGCCGTTCGCCAATCGCACCCGCGCGCTCCAGACTTCCCCGACAAGCCTGCGGCGGGGGTGTGCGGGAGCGGGCGCGGGGACGGGGGCAGCATGCGCGAGATGGGAGATGGCAACAACTTGATTTATGCCGTAACCCGTGCAAATTTTGATTATCCTCGGTCAGGTCGTTCGCGACTTTATAGTGAGGAGTTTATGGGCTTTCAGGTTCCGGCTGAGCTGTAGCCGCCACAGCCACCGAGTATCTTTACACTCTTTTTTTTAGGTTTCCTCTTACGTTTCGGGTCCCTTTCTCGGCAGCGTTAAATGGCGGTGTATCCACGGGGCGTAAGAGGTCGTCGTAGCTAGACGAGGCGAAGTGAGCCGAGGGACGGGGCAGTAGGCTGGCGACTCGGGCTAAGGGGCGCCGCACTGGGAAACGTCTCAAACTT